CAATAAAAATTATTTAATTATTTAACATGTTTGTTGTTATTTTTAATTTAATAACTAAAAATACTCTAAACTCCAAAAATAATAAAAATACTATTATATTATTGTTGAACCAAGAAGAGCCGCTACCCGCACGGCTCATGAATATTATATAGGAATGCCACTATTCACTATCACGCAGGAGAAACACCATATTTATGCCACAACCTAAACTTATCAACCGTAGCGAAAAAAACACAAATTCACCTAACCTTTAGCCAAATTTTCACGAGCCGAAAACACTAATTTTCAAGTTTCCAGAAGCCCAAAAACACTATTTCACCCACCCATATCATACCGCCCAAATCTCCAGTACTAAATTTCACACAACAATGTTTTCCGACCACCGTCAAAACAATACTTCACACCTAACACGCTGCCGAGTTTCATACATCATTAAAATATCATCATCTACTAATAGTTTATAAGGTTGGAACAACTTGGATGGACTGAATTTAAAAGGTGCATCAAAAATGAGAAAGAGCAGCGGTTAGAATATTAAGAAAACAAGAATTTTTATAGGTGTGATGATAAGTTATGCAATAATACTTTACAATACTTTTCATTAATTGATTTAACTATAATTAACTACAACAAGTGAAGTATATTCTCGTAATGTCGAGCTAATAATAGATGGAATATATAAAATTTAGATCAAGAATCATAATATAAAATCTAGCTTCACAAGTGTTAAATTACTGTTGATAGGTAATTTAGTGCATGTTATATTAATATTTATAACTATTATCTTGTTCATGTCAAACTAATAAAATAAATATTTAAAAAATAATTATCCTTAACAACACAAAAGATATTTAAATATAGCATCAACAATCACATATTCATGGCAACAACAAACATTCTTAGTAATAATATTCCACATAACTTTTTAATAAGCATCAAAATGAAATCTAAATGATTTGCTCAAAATTACTTGTTTGTTGAATCTTTAACTATATATTTTGATGCTATTTTATACTTAAGATAACTTATATTTTTAAGTAATAACTATATTTCATTTCATTTTCTTTTAGAATATCTTTAAATTCTTTTAGATAGTTGAAAATATAAGTTTCTTACCATCAACTTCTTCCTTAAACTTTTTATACTTGAAACCATTGATAGGATCATTTTTCCTTTTTCTATGTTTTTTATTTCCATTAATATTATCCTCGTCGACAAACTTAATTTTTTTTCACGCTTATAATATTATCATTATTATTAACTTTCCAATCATTATCTGAATTAGAAACATCAAAAATAATTTTATCAATTGAATCATCATCTACTAAAATATCAACCCAATCATATTTAGCTTCATTTATAGATTCAAATCTTTTTTTTTTTAAATAAATATGATCATGATCTTTTTTTTCATTATAATTGTACATATCAATAACTTTATCACTCTTAATAAAACAATTTATAGTAACACATGTTTCAACTTTAGTCTTTTTATCAGCATTAATATCATCATTTTTATTATCAAAATCAACGCCATTTAATTCAGGTAACAAAACAACCTTATTTTTTTTCTTTACCCCCCTTGTCATAAGAAAAAAAAAAATTATAATCATTTCACATACTATCATACTGGTTGCAATACCGCCTAGGCATTTTCAATGTTGTAGGAGCAGCATCAGTATCCTCTTCAATATATAAATGAATGTCTTCTTCTCTTTATTCTTCATGTATGCTAATTACCTTAAAAACTGATGCAAACATTTGCCATCACTTATTTTAAATCCATGTAAGGCACAAACACTTGTTCGCAAATAACAAGAGATCAATGTATGAAACGTGCCCTGTGATTCCAATTTCTTTGGACAAGTGTTGAACTACCATGATGAGCAATCATATCAATCATTTTGTATGTATATTGCTATGTAAGAGGATATAGCAATTATATTAAACAAGAGTTAAATAACATTAAACGAGCACCTAATTAAGCAAAAAACTATAAAAATTAAGGTTCTTTTAACAGTACATGCAGTAAATATAAATATTTATTAGTTAATGATCTCTTAAAAATTATATCCACATCACACAAGGAAGAAAAATGTGACAATTCCTATGGTCAGCCATTTAAACCACACGCAAAAGAAAAATCCAGAAACCAACTTGCAAATTATCAATGCCAAGAACATTGAAGGTTCTAGATAAAAAAATTGTGGGTATTGGGTCATCATAGAGACTGAAAGCATGCACTTAGATCATGTTGAAAATACTGCTTACGAATTTTGTGGTCCAAAACGACATCCTCCTGAGTTTGGTCTAATATTGTCAATTAAAGAGGTATTTTTCAATTTTCTATCTCCCTCGGCTAATGTTTCGCTATCAGAGCCAAGCTGACCCTTTAATTTTTACTACATGAATTATATATTTCGGTGTGTGAGATATCTCATTATACATTTTAAATTTAAATTATCAAATTTAAATAAATACAAATAATATTAATGCGCTTTACATATCATAAAACGGCTTAAATAAGCTAATTAATAATGTCCTGAAATGATTTTATAAACGCAATTGAAGACCCATTTGAAGGGCTGTGGATTTCATTTTAAACATAACTGGAAATAACTCTAAATACAGAATACTGATCACTCCATACTCCATCAACATATATTAAGTCACACCCACATATTAAAAATTGCATTAAAGACAATATGATTAATCTTATTTTAAAAAATGAAAACAATATATAAAAATAAAAATAAATAATATATCAATTTTAATCATAATTATCAAACTCAATTAGATTGGTTAATTAGATTGATTAATCTGATCATTCAAAACATGATCCAAGTTATGTTTGATGATAAATTATTTGAGAAATTAATTTAATGAAACCAAGATAATTTAATTAAAACCCGACTGAGATCCAATTAATATTTTTTATATTCACATGGCAAGTTTTATAGCTACTATATTAAACTTTCTTTTTTTGAGCCAAGTGAAATTGGATTAGATTTCCACTTGTAACTCGAATTTTAATAATTAGTGTGCCTTAATCATTGACTTACTATTTTTGAGAAATAGACAATCGATGTGACGTATGAGCTTACATCATAGGTAGCGTGACTGTTATAAAAATTTGAGTTGTAAAATCACTTTGTCATTCCCGTATAATTAATTATACAGTATCTATCGATTTTATCTCACGGATGTTACATATAGCAGTTTCAAAAATTTATTTTTATTCAGTTATATTACAATTCAAATAGATAGTTATAGAAAATCAGACAACTTAAATTCTGAAAAAAATATTTTTTAATTGAATTTCCCTTTCTTTATTGATCTAAAAATATATTTTTTAATAAAAACTCTCTCTCTTTATTCTTTATTCATGTATTTTTTGTTTTAAAAAAACATATTTTTTATAAAATATATTATTTTGTTTTAATAAAATTTTATCTTGATCTAAAAAGCAAATTTCAATAAAAAACATAAAAATATGATTCGATAATTCATACATGACACAAAGAAAGAAAAAAAAGAATAATAACTTAAGAAAATTATGTAAGAAATCAAGAATCTTATTTTCATTGAATATTCATAAGAATATATTTTTTAGAAAACAAATTTCATATTAGGTTCATATATAATTTACAAAGTGATTATCAGTATTATCATAAAAAATATAATTTTATTTGAAAAGTATGCTAAAATCAGATAATACTTTAAATTTCATTTTTTTATTTGTAGCGAGTTCTATTGAAAATTAAAAAAAAGGTTAGGTGTTTAGGCCTCAAAGGATGGTCCATTGTTATTGACTCTAAATAAAAAAAATCTTGACAATATATCGTACTATATATCTTATTTTAAAGGGTGGACAACACATTGTGCACCCTTAATTTTTTTTTTGAATAAAATGAATGACGCATCATTTATTTTTATGGATGACATGTTGTTAACTTGTTCAAACTCTAGACATCTTTGGTGGAAAAAAAGTTAGGGTTCTAGTTTTGGAATCACAAAAACTTGTTTTCAGGGTGATTACATCTATAAACACCTAAAAAAATATCAATGACCTTGTTTGGGTTTAATAATCTTAGTTAAATTAATAATATGATTAAGAAAAAGACATCGATAGTAAATAAAAAAAAAAACAAAAAAAGACAGTGATTAACTATAAGAAATGAGTTGTTAATATTATACTTAAGAGAAGAAAAAAAAAGGTTAGTTAGAAACTCAACATCGCTTTAAAGAAAACAACACCCCGCCACCAACAAGAGCTTATATAGATCGTTCTAATGCCACTACTAAAGGTTGCATAAAGACAACAAAAAAGACTGCATGTGTTGTTAGAGTAATGACTCATAAAACAAACCAAATAAAATACAATAAAATCAACATTCAATTCATTTATTTTAAGTCAAAAATAAATTTATTTTTTTAAAATCTAAATTTAACAAATAATGACAAATAATAATACTCAAGATAACCCAAGTCATTTTCAATATCAGTGAAAAATCCTATAGAATGCAAGGAATTGTTTTTTAATAAATCTCAATCTCCAATTAAATATATTTTGAAGGATGAAACTGAAAAAAAACACGAGTTTAAAAAAAAAAACCAACTTGTGAAATTCTAGACCTTGACTTAATTAAGAAGTCTAATTTTCAATTAATTTAATATTGAAAGGTGAAACTTGAAAAAAATATTAATTTTAAAAAATTATCAAAATAAAAAATAGCAATTAAAAAAATAAAAATTAAATTTGATAAGGAAAAAACAAAGAAGAATAAAATAAAAAAAAAATAACATAAAAAAGGGTCAATTATAATAGAAAAAAATAAAGGAGAGTGAAATTGAAAAAGAATTTTAATTTTATAAGTTATTTCAAATAAAACAAATAGTAATCAAAATAACAAAGACTAGATCTAAAGAAAAAAAATTAAAATGCTATTTTGAAAATTTAAAGAATCAGACATAGAAATCAAGGAAAAAAAGAAAAAGAAATGGCCATTGATACTCATTCAGATGTTAGTAAGTCACACGTGCTATTTAGGGATGTAGGTGCCACTAAGACGATTTTAATGCTATTATAGAATGCGATGTTTGGTCATCTGGATATGCCTCACGAGTGGACATCGCTCACTTACTATTGTGTTCTTCGCATATACCAACCAAATTTATTTTTAAATTATATTTTATATTTATTAAAATATTAAATTGTTCCTTATTATAACCAAATAATCAAAGTAAAAATGCAAAAATGCCTCAGGATGCCAGTTAAATTTTTTTCTTATAATTAAGGATAATTTAGTTATTTTAATGTGTTTTTTAAAAGTGAAAATAAATAAAATCTCCTAAACACCGATTAAATATTTTTTTTATTTTTAAGGATAAGTTAGTAATTTTGTTGTGTTTCAAAAATATAAAAAAACTAAATTATTTCTTATCAATTTAATAATAACTAATAAACCTTGTATAAATATCATTTTTAACATTGTTCGACATATTGTATAAGGGATAAAAAAAGGGTTCCACATATCTTAAAATTATAAAGGAATCTTAATTTGATAAATTCTGAATGTAAATAGCTCGCAGTATCTGTTTAAATAGTAAACTAAATTACTGACATAGCTAATTAAAACTTAAATCAAATAGAATTTTGATAGCTAACTAGGAAAAAATCAAAAAATATTTTTTTTTTAAAAGAAAGCAGTTAGTAATTAATTCCGAGTCTAATTCCCGACTCAGCTAATCTTATAAGAGAACAAGGCTCACGAACATGCTCAGATTGTTTTGACCCAATATCTAACAATCGGATCAAGAACTTATGCACGTTTCTGTTAGAAAGGTTGCTTAACTAATTCAAACTCTTTCTTGAGCTTCATCCTATCTGTCTGATCTATGAACTTGTAATAAAAACATCTAAAACAAAAATCACATAATCCATGACCCTCACCAACTGTTCATCAAGTTATCATATATATATATATATCATTGATTTTATTCATAAAAAATAGCTAATAAATTTAAAAATTCATAATCATTCACTAACCTGGATGAAATTAATCATAATGAAATCTTAACCGATAAATACAAATTAATATTGATATGAGTTTCACCGACATGATGGATCATATAATATTCCTATCTTTAGAGGTGTACGTACACTCAAATATATAAAGATTTGATTCTTTCTTGATTTATAAAAGAAGGATTTTATTTTAATCTCATTGCATCACGATTTTAAACAAATTGGCATCACAATAGCTAATAAGTAGCGCCATTTCCACGCATAATAATAGCAATATTATGAATGATAAAAAAAATAAAAAAATAAAAAAGCGAGCGAGCACCTTTTATATTTCGTTTTTCTAGTTTAATAAATTAAAGTCGTTTAAAATGTGAAAGGATCTCGATCCCTGTTTATCTCTTGAAACATCTAAGCGGCTTTATACCTAAAGTCCGAAGCAGATACCTTCCTTTGAACATACATTCGTTCTGTTCTTAATAATAATAATAATAAATAAATAAATAAAAATATGTTAAAAGGAGAGAGAGAGAGGGAGAGAGAGATTATTGGACAACCAATTTCTTCTCGACAAACTCCTGTTCACACAGAGCCACACCAAAGATGTATAAAAAACCCTAGAGCTGAGGTCTTCCTTCTTTCCATTCTTGTTTTCTTACTTCATTTCTGCATTTTTTTGGCCTCTTTCCGATCTCAATACCAGTCCATATATGCTCCCTGTCTTGACTTGACGCCGACATAAATGCAACGAGTATAGCTTCTAGCAACAAATTTGTTACTCTCTTTAATTTATTGCTTCATGCTTTAGCGAAAAAACATAGAACAAGGTATTATCAATAGCTCATAAAGTGGATCGAAGATATGGGAAGAGGCCCCTTCCATCCGATGAACCGGAGGAGAAAGAAGAAGATCACACCTTCCCTGTCTACTCAGCTCGATCTCAACAAGACATGGATGTGATGGTTTCAGCTCTAGCTCAAGTAATTGGAAGCAGCCACAATAACTTAGCTCAAGTGCATGAAAATCCATTGACCTCAACACAATCCAGCACAGAAAATGATCAAACCCAACCAGCTGTTCAAGACCAAGGTATCGTGCACATATATAATAATTTTTGGAAATTCCCCAAATTCTTTCTTTCCTATCCAAAATCTCCAGGTAACAATATATATTGATCATGATCACTTGTTAATTAGGACTTTGGGGGTAGGATATATTGTTTTCTGATTGCATGTCTTTCAAAATTCTTCATGATTTTTCCTTTTCCTTTTCTTTTTTTTTTTTTCTCTTAAAGGTAAAAATCTTCTAGGAATGGATGAATGAAAAAACTCAAAGCTAAATTGTGACCCTTCTATGAAGCTATACAAACAAACAAAAATGAATTGAACTATATAATATTCAAATTCCTACACAGCAGACCAAAAATGAGTTTTCGACAAGGCATTTTTAAGGTAAAAATCACTTTTAGCATTTAATGATGAACCTTTACAATAATGCATGGATCCTATATAATATTTAAGCAATGAAGAGATCATATACTTCCAATTTTTCTTCTCATCATGACATGAGTGCAGTAATCATTGTGTTTTCTTCTAAGAAAACCATTTGAAAGTGTTGTTACGTCTACCTTTTACCCCACTAATATTTTACCTTTTGTTCTATCAATTTTCTAGCTATTTCCATGCTTCGAGCTTTTTAACACTTTAAATCAGTCTTTTAGCTAGCAAGTATTACTTTATTTTATTCGAATGTAACTGATTATTTACATGTTATTTCATGAATACTTAACCTGGAAACAAAAACATTTTTTTTGCTGGTGAAGGGTATGCAAGGAGACGACATTACAGAGGAGTTAGGCAAAGGCCGTGGGGAAAATGGGCCGCTGAGATCCGAGATCCCAAGAAGGCAGCTCGAGTGTGGCTAGGCACTTTCGAAACGGCTGAGGCTGCCGCCCTTGCTTACGATGAAGCAGCTCTTAGGTTCAAAGGAAGCAAGGCTAAGCTCAACTTTCCTGAAAGGGTTCCATCTGGCGGGACGGAATTAGGTTTCTTTACTAGAGGCCAAGGTTTGCATACGGTTACTGAACCTGTCCCTAATCACATTATGGCTCCTCTAGCTCGTTCCCAACGACCACAGGAAGCATATAATCCAAGTAATTTTCAATATCCACAATTTCTTGGAACCACATCAGGCTATGGCTTAAGCCACGTCATGCCGTCAGCAGTTCCATTTGGTGGAGAAACATTTCTTTCACCGACTTCCTCCAGTGCATCTTCTAATTCGTGGCCGATATCTTCTCAACAGCAGCAGCAGCAGCAGCAAGAGGAACTTTTAAGATTATCAATGCAGTTTGGAAGTTCTTACAACTCTCGTTATGATCCTTCTAAATACAAAGACGAGGGGCTCTGATTAATCAAGTCATGATCAAAGAGAGCAAGTTAATTAGGAAAGATCAGTGGGAGCTGAATTCCTAGTTATGATGTTGGAAAGATCGGTGAGAGCTGAATTCCTAGTTATGATATTGGTGTTTCTTTTTCACTTGCAGTTTTTTTTTTTTACCTTGTCTTTTCTTCTTGTCTTAATTACTTTCCTTGTTGAACTTATAATATAATTTTCCACAATCCCATCTAGGGTGATCAAGAAAATATGTTGTTTAATAAATTTTGTTTGCATCTAATTCGCTCCTGGGTAATCTCTCAGTGCAATTGATTCAGTTCCATATGTATATATACACATCAAATTGCAATAACCTCTAGCTTTATTTTAGATTCGAATTTATGAAAATGATATTGGATTTTATGGAAATTATGTAAATACTGAGAATAAAAACATCGATAGAATTGGTGCAACAAGCCACTAAGAGAGTTGGTAAATTTTGCTGCCGATGTATTGATCATCAAGACTTCATGTCGTGAAGCCGAGAACAAACAAGTAAATATACATGACGAATGAATTAACAGCAGCAGCTAGATATTACCTGATCACTGTTAATGTCTCTCTAGCTCGATCTCCGACAGTATATTTGCAGAGGAAAATCTAAGATACACCACATCAATTCTGTGTCTCCAACTACTGTACGAAACCTGAGACACGTGGAAACTGGGAAGGAGAATGGAGGTGCATGCTTTCATCATGCACATATACGAAGCTAATGCCACTATAAATGAAACAGGATCGATCGATCGCAGGGCAGGACCTTGAATCGCAAAGAGAGAAGCAGCCATGCAAACTCGATCGGGAGCAGATTTCGAAGAGTGATATAATATACTTGGATATATATTTTTGCATAGGTTTTGCGGTATGGATATTATTATATGATCATGTGTTGTAATTTTGAATATAAGTGGTTATGGACCATATAGTACACTGTAAGAGACTTAATACATATAGAAGTAGCTTGACATAGATCTCTAAATTATCTGAATAACCCCCAGAAAATATATATTGTATACCGCTGAAGCTTGCTTGAGGTATGAGGCAGCACCTAGCGGTTTCAGTTTCAGGTCAGTGGTGTGAAAACCTGCAACTTCTATTTGTCATGGAATTCGGCTGGAGTTGACGAAATCTGATATTCAATGCAAAACAGATGAGAAAAGAACAATTAGGGCTGCCATACGTGTTTTTTGCATTACGCGTTATTTTGTCAGGCGCGCAGCCCTGGAAACGTCGAGCTCGCTCGTCCATCGCAGACAAACTCATTCATTCGTTGAAAAAGGAAAAAAAAGAATAATCCTTGTTCAACTACATTCTAGTTTTGACTGTTAGAGCCCTGGGGATGGGATAATATATATGTAGGTATCGATCAGAAATGATTCTTTTGCTTAATTTCAATATAAATATTCATCCATTAACATTTATATATGATCCTCGACCTTCTTTTTATTTATTTTTTGTCGGATTTAATACTTTATAGGTTTTATTGTTGATCAGCTTGATTGATTCATTGAACAATTAATCGTGGATTTGATTTCTTAAGATGGGAAAACGATTTCTTAAGAAGAAACAAGTAATATTGTACGTTGACTTCGTTTCTTTTATTCTTTGTAGTTGAACTACACGAACACGATAAAATTAATGACAACTACATCTATATCAGGTAATTTTTGAGGCGGACTAGTGCTATGATCTAGTCAGATTTTCGATTTTTTTATTCAACCACTAGATAAATGGTCAGACCGGTGGCTTGATATGTATATTTTTTTGCATATAAAATATAACAAGAAGTGGTGAGTACAAGATTTAAGAGGACAGATCGTTACCAAGTTTAAGTTCCATACGTAGGATACAAATTAATTATTTTTTTAACCATATATATAATGTTTGATCCATCGACTCAATTACAAGATTTGATGGATTTTGACTTTGTCTCTTGCGTTTTTGATCACTGAAATCAACTTTGGCTGATTAGAAAACCAATCTCCATTTGAACTATAGTCATCGCGGTATGATTTGGGTTTAATAGTTTGATCAATTTTTTGTTTTAAAAAAATTAATTTTTTTATTTTAAATTAATTTTTTTTTTGTGTTTTTAGATTGTTTTGATCGCTAATATCAAAAATAAATTTTAAAAATAAAAAATTATTTTAATATATTTTCAAATGAAAAATATTTTGAAAAACAATTATCACTACAATATCAAATAGATTCTAATAACACCAATATATGATATAAATATGTATAAATACAGATTAACATGAAAAAAAAAAAATTTAATTATGAATAAATGGGACATAATCAAGATTGCTTTATAGGATTAAGAACTTATAATTTAGATCCAATTATGAATTTATTTTTTGAGTTGAAATATTAAACATTTAATTAAATATAACTTCACTTCAACATTGTTTGAATTAATTGCTTTCACTAGATTTAATTAATTTCTTATACTATCTTATTTTTATTTCATAGTTTAAAATTAATGTCATAGTGTAATATCTCACATTGACGTTTGAAGATTTGATAGCTTATTTTATTAGTAGTACTGGTTGTTAACTTATTAGACGTGGTTTTGGGTCTTGCGTGGTCACTAAGAACAAATTCATAAGGACAATAAAACTCAAAGTGAACAATATCTGGCAGGTTTGAATGAGCCATGACATTTGGTATTAGAGTCGGTTTTATCGGTTGCCCAATTGTACCAACAAAGTCGTTAGGCTCCTTAAGAGGGATGGATTGTAATATCCAGTATCGACGAGTGAGAATTTGGTAGCTAACCTTATTAGTAATGTTAGTTGCTAACTTGTCACATGTATTTTGAGGCCATGCGTTGTCATCAAGAACAAATCCATGAGAATGATAAAGGCCAAAACAAATAATATATAATAAGTTGGGTTGAGTTTTAACATATGGTATGATTGATAAATGATCATATTCTCATATAAGATGTATCAATTATTATTATTTCTATACTAAATATTATTTATAACAAAAATAAGTATTTATAAAAATAAGTATCAAGATAGTTTTATTTTATATTTGCAAAAAAGAAAACAAAGAAGAAAGAAACATAATCAAAGTGATGGCTATTTTTCTCTTATAATTTCACGCATTGTGTTTTCAATTGATTATATATTATTATTGGTTATAATATTGATTTTTATAGGTACTACTTTTTATTATTTTAAATATTTTTTTAAGCATGATAAATCATTTGTATTTTATTATTATTTTTATAAATAAACATGGTCATACTATTACATATTGACCAGATCTAGTGTTTTAGAGATTGTAAGCTTTTTATAATTTAACCATATTTAGGATATTTGTCTGAATTTGTTTTGTTTTTACAGATATTTTTAATTTCATCCCTTATGATTTTTTTTAATTTTTAAATTTTAGTTTTTATTTTTAATTGATATTTATTTTATTAGAAATTATTTTATATTTTTTTCATTAAATTACATCCTCCTTAGATTTTTTCTATCAAATTTTGTTCTTATTCTTTTTGTTACTTTTGCAAAAAAATTTATTAATATTTTCCTACTGATCTCAGTCTTTAAAATTAAATTAGTTAAAAATTAAAATAGGTTTAATAGATTTATCCTTTTTTAATTTTTTTCCTAGATATTTAAATTACCCATTTAACCCATAATGAATTGAATTTTTTTTAACCTATTACTTTTTTTTATGTTTTAAAAAAAATTGTTCTACACGCAGAAAACATATATGTACTTTTTATCTTATGAGTCCTAGCCTCTCATGAAGATGTAATTAGGCCTGCATATAGGCTTAAGGATAAAGGGAACACCGACATCAATAATTTATATTCCATTGTACATCTGAACCCACTTTAGTGCAAAGCCTAGATCAGTTCAATGAAACTAGAAAGCTCAGCCGGAACATATAGCTAGGAAGAAAAGGAATGTATCCTCAACAATCAAATCACTGTGATGTTCATTAACATGATCATAGCATTTTACAAAAATCACACTTTTTTAATAAGCTAGTATTCAAGTTCTTAAAGATTAAAGGTTGAAGACGCGTAATTTACTAATTATTTCGGCTACACTTATCCCCATCACCTCAACTTGCTTTACGGCACCGTTCACTTAAAGAGAAGAAAAGGAAAGGGAAAACAACATAAACCCTACGTGTGTCATATGGCTTCTAGGGTTAAAAAGCAACAAAAGAGAAGTGGGGTTAAAGAGAGCTGTAATTGGAAAAGAACCTACCCATTCCAACATCCAAGTTCTTGTTTTCAATAATTACTTGTATATTTTGTACATCTTAGCTTTAGTGTGTCCTATTGTAGTGGTGCTTTCAATAAAAGCTGTAATTGCTCGTGGTTTCCGTTTAAAATTAATATAATTTTTTCCAGTTTTTTTTTTTATTCTATCGTATTAAAACTATAAAGAAAAAAAATACTAAAACAATATCAATTTAATATTTTTATAAATGAAATATAATATAAAAACCTACTTCAAAAACTAAAATGACCACAGTTTCAAACACTTCAAATTCTCCACGGCAATCCAATAAAATTTAATATGGTATGAAGGAATAAAGTGGGCTCCTTTTATGTGATGTTGATAAAAAAAACAACAACAATAAATAATAATAGACATAAGGAATCCACGCCAATCCGATATTGTGTCATCTAAAGGATCCAAATCCTTCAAATGGCTGCTAGCTGGGCCCAATTCTAACATAACGATCAATTGTTCACAAGAAGACGATCCATTGTAAAAAAATACCTGTAATAATTTACATGATCCAGATCCATGTTTGAGCGTGTAAGATTGAACTTGTTAAATGAAAACTAAGAGAACTAAACGCTAAACTCCTCCAAAGGTCAAACAATAGAATGGGAATGGAAGAAGCCAGAATCCAAGACATGAGAACAGCTCCCTCTACCTTTTTCTGGAGAGAGATAGGCTAACAAAAAGAGTCAAAAGCTCAAGATGTTCACTAGACAAGTGGAAGAACACTCAACGCAGCTATGGCACTCCCAGTTCCCACGTAATAAGAAACCGACGATGGGGCGGCAATGTTAAGAGTAAACTTGTGGGTTCAATAATTCGCATCCCTAACTTCGGCTGCGTCCGCGCTTTTGTCGGTTTTCCATGTCAATGTTTTCGGCTCTCACCTTGTCGTCATTAATGAACCTTTTACTTGACTCGTAGTTTTGTCCCCTTCCTCATATTCTTTGCTCTCTTTCTCCATAGGAATCCAAGTT